GGTAGATATGTGGGGGCGTGTTAGAACGAGCTGTTTTAGGGGGGCGTGGCAGAGTCTTAACTTTGATAAAGAATATCTCTTTGGATTTGAGACTTTAGTCTTTGCAACTTCAGGGATCTTATCTATGCACAATCAGCTTGTAACACTCCAAAGAGAAAGGAAAACTTGAACTCGCATCATATGACCCCTTTAATTAATCTATATGTTCATAAAGGTATATATAATTAAATATAAAATATATATTTAAATTGCTTCACTTAAAGGGATAGTTCACCCAAAAGTGAAAATTCTGTCAGCATTTACTTACCCTCAAGTTGTTTTCAAACCTGCATGAGTTTGTTTCAGCTGTTGAACACAAAAGAAGATAATTTTAAAAATGTTGGTAACCAAACAGTTGATGGTATTGACTTCCATAGTATGAAAAAAATACTACTGAAGTCAATGGCTAACTGGTTACCAACATTCTTCAAAATACCTTCTTTTTTGTTCAACTGAAGAAAGAACTCATACAGGTTTGGAACATTTTCATATTAATTTTTTACAATTTCTTTTAAATTTATTTTTATGTAATAACTCTTTCTTTTTTTTGTTTAAAATATTGATTGTGTGTGGTCTCCTATATTTGTGTGCTTTTTAGAAAAGCAACAGTAATGATTACACTTAACGCATATTGTAATATTCTCACTTAAGATACATGTCCAAAATGAAAAGTAACTAAATCCTGAAGAATGATCCAGCGACTCACCTCACATTAATTTCCATTGTTTAACGGCCATTTTTAGCATGGAAATATAGTCTGCTGTGCTGTAAGTACTCTTCGGATTATTCTCTCCTGCCTAAATTAGCACATTCCATTTCCTTGTCAGTCATAAACACACTCTATTTTTACCCACTCTCTCTCATTGTTTTCCCCCCAAAAAAACCCAGCAGACAATGACTGGTACTCTGCTGCCTTTCAGTCAAAATAATAATACATTTAAGGGTTTGGAATAGATGACACACAGTTTTATCATTACATTAGATATAGTAAATCGTTTTTATTAAGTTTTATTAAGAAATTTCTGTCATGATTGCAAGTGCTTAATAGATGCTAATAGATTTAAGAATCAGAATCTTATTATTTTGCTCTTTAAATCAATAATTTTATATATTACTTTCTCATTATAAGCATTAATTTTAAATCATAGTACATTTGTACAACAGTTAGTGATGAGAGGTCAGACTGTTTACACCAGTATAGCTTAAATAATCCACAGTAAACTATTAAACTATGTTTTAATACTTTAATACATTCTGGTTAAATACTTTTATACAACATTTGTGACTAGTCACGCAATCTTAAAGCCTGGATAATGAATCATATCTAACAACATATACATTTTTTTCTCCCACCTGAAACTTTAATTTCACTGGAAACTGAACATACTAAAACTTAAATGTGAAATGTTATATTTTTATTTATATTATTTTTTTTATTTACCCATTGTATAGAAATGCACTATATGACAAAGTCACACTGATGTTGTCCTATTAAATATATGACGTAATTTGTTGGTATGTAGTTTGTAGCTAAAACTACAAGTAGTTTTATTAATCAGCACCATTTAATAAATCAGCAAATCCTGAGCATATTTTGTTCCAAATTCTTTACATGAACATCCTTCATATTCCCTATTGATGTTCTCCTGTCTGGCTTAGGGCTAGTCTCATCTGCGCTTTCATTTTCTTTGTGTTCACACAGAGTAGAACACAAACAGCAGCAAATTAAACATGAGAGAAAGAGGGGAAGCACGGCAGCATGAAATAGCTTATAATATTATGCAGCCTATTCAAGCATGTTAATGAAGATTTTCACCCCTGAATGGAGAGAGATATCTCACACGGTGTACCCTCATTCAGAGCTTGGATTATTGTTGCTGCACTGAATAATGTAGCCTACATGTGCTTTTTTGATCTTTGTTTGTCTGAAATGTTTATCTCTTGCCGGAAAACATTGGGTGCTCCATATTTAGATTTTTACTTTAAAATGTGTAAGTTACTATGATAACATCTCGGGTTATGACTGTAACCTTGGTACCCTGAAGGGAACGAGACGCTGCTTCAAAACGCTGTGGGAACGCCTCTGTGTGACCGCGTTCTGAAGCACGTGTGAAATCAGTTCAATGGAATGGTGAGACGTCACGGGCGGGCTGACGTAGCGACCAGGCGGTTTAAAAGTACATCCAGTGTAAACAGCATCATCTTGTGATAGGTCAAAGTAAGCCGCTCACAGGGATGCAGGAAGTATGGCAGGGAGACACATCATCTCATTTCCTTCAGGGAGCCAAGCTTACAGTCGTAACCCGAGATGTTCCTTCTCAGGGAACTCGAGCTGCGTTGAAACACTATGGGAGCGACAATACCCACTCCATCATGCTGACAAATCCCTGTCCAGTGTGAATCGTGGCGCACACATCCAAGACAGGAGAACGTGAGAGTCTGGTGTAGATGCCAGATCTAAGTTGTAGAATCTGACAAATGAGAGTGGACAGGACCAGCTCGCTGCATCACAAATGTCCTGCAGGAAAACCAATGAAAGAAAGGCTTTCGAAGCCGCCATACTTCTAGTCGAATGAGCCTTGACCCCCAAAAATGCCTTCACCATACCAGGTGCAAACTCTAGGCATGAAGGGGCCACTGACCGGGCCTGAAAAATCCCCTTCGGTAAAAATCGCGTTCCGGGCCCCCTCACCCTCATTGGGCCCTTGGAATCGTCCTAACCTTCAAAAATCACATTTCAAATTGAAAAAAAAAAAAAAAACACTTTGATGTGCCAAGCCACCACAGCCGAACCAAAAAATGTGGTTAAAAAACTGAGGTATGAATTGAACCATGGGCTAACGCAGTGTTTCCCAACCGGGGTGCCGTCAGTTCTTCCCTGCTGTACCGAATATCTATACTTTTCAAAGTATCATATCGAAGTTATAAATTCAAATATTGTGACAAAATTAATTTTGTAGGGTGCCACAAATTTGTTAAAACTTCCAAAGGATTCCGCGACTAAAGAAAGGTTGGGAAACACTGGCCTAACGTATTGTTTCTCGGCTTCCAGGTCGCTACGTCACCCCGCCTGTGACGTCTCGCCATTCCATTGCACTAATTTCAAATGTGCTTCAGAACGCGGTCACGCAGAGGCATTCCTACAGCGTTCCGACACAGCTCG